GAAATGTTGAAAAAAAAAAGAGTTAGAAAAATGCTAAGAGATTTTAATCCATTTAATGCATAACAAAATGAGCATAATGAGATGATGATTAGACAATTATAAGATGATAATGATGGTGAGGATGTCAATACTAAAAAACATATGTTACCACTGAAGGTTGCAAAAAAGAAAAAGATTCAAAGCAGTAGCACTATAAAACAAGTAACTACAAGTTATGGAAAGCAGAAGAAATCTACAACATTATGAACATATTTCATGTCAAGAACAACTGCCGGTGCTCAAAAATCTCTTTGAAATTGTTGGCAAAGAAAGGAAGCAATTGAACGGTGTGATCTTGTTTTAGTGAAGTGAATTATTGATGCATGTGTATCATTTAATGCTGTCAACTCTGTATATTATTAGCATGCCATAGATGTTGTAATAGTCATGGGTTCTGGTTGTAAAAGACTAAACTTGCATGCTATTCATGGTTATTACTTGGCAAAAACAGTTGACGAAGTGAGGATTCATATTGAAAGTTATCGAGAGATTTGAAAGAAGACTGGTTGTATATTAATGGCTGATGGATGGACAGATCAGAAGAGGAAGACTTTAATTAACTTCTTAGTATATTGTCCTAAATGAACAATTTTTTAAAAAACTATGAATGTATTAGATGTTTTAAAGACTGCTAGATTGTTGCATTAGTTGTTTAGAGAGATTGTTTTGTATGTTGGGGTAGAAAACATTGTGCATATAGTGACTGATAATGCTGCAAATTATGTTACTGCTGGCAATTTATTGATGGAAGAATTCTTTTAGTATTTTGGTCTTCTTGTGTTGCTTATTGCATCAACCTCATACTCCATGACATTGGTAAATTGCAGTTAGTTTGTTTTATTTTTGAACATACTTCTAGTATCACAAAGTACGTTTATAATTATTGTTATTCATTGTATTAGACGAGGAAGATCACTGGAGGAAAAGAAATACTTCGTCCAACTCCTACTCATTTTGCTACTAATTTCATTGTATTGTAAAGCATTTTAGCTCATTAAGATGAGTTGAGAGCTATGGTGACATCTAGAGAATAAGTCTCATCTATTTATGCTAAATAAAATAAAGAAAAAAAGTTTGTTGAGAGTATGCTAGACTTTTTTTTTTGAAAAAAAAAGTGTAATAATTATACGAATGAGCGAATTTTTAGTTTGAGTTCTATGAATGGTTGATGGTGATGATGGACCTTCAATGAAATATTTGTATCATGCTATTCATTATGCAAAACAAGAAATGTTGAGGAGATTTCAAAAGAGAAAGGTTAGAGTGAAACCTTTTATAGATATTATCAATAATTGGTGGGATAAACAACTATATAGAAATCTTTATGCGTTAATATTTTGGTTGAATCCTCGATTTTAATATGATGCAAATATAATGAATAAACATATAAGCACCATTTTTGGACTTCTAGATGTTCTTAAGAAGTTTGCATATGGAAGTTTACCATTGCAAAGTAAGATTACAAGTGAGATGAAGTTGTTTAGAAATACTAAAAATGACTTTGATCGAGTGTCCACAATAAATAATCGTACCTTTAAACCTTAAGGAATATAATTTTTATATTTACAAATATTAGTTGACATAATCTTACTTATTTTTTATATATATAGATGAATGATGGATGTCATATAGAACTAGTGTTTTAAATATACAACATTTGGCTACATGAGTGTTAATCAAACTTGTAGTTCTTCAGGATGTGAAAGAAATTGAAGTATTTTTGAAGATATTCACTCCAAGAAGAGAAATAGATTAGAGCACCAAAAGGCTTAATGATCTTATTTACATTCACTGCAATCTAAAATTGAAACAAAAATATTTTTCTTTTCTCTAATTCCTTAAATATTTTTTTATCTTATTTAGTAGCATTATTAATACTTATATAATGTTTACCTTCACTTTTAATATATAGGAATTATTGGAAAGGATAAAATTATGATCCAATTAATTTTGAGACAATTTGACATTGAAAATTAGATAGTAGAAGATGACCCGTCAATTTTAACAACTGAAGAAGCAAAGAGTTTTCACAAAGCTCTATCAACAATGACTATACAAGATATTTTAGATGATGGTAATTAATGATTGATCATTTAATGAGAAATATTATTTAAAACAAAATATTGTTTAACACATAATATTTATTTATTAATTGTGTTTTAAATGTAGATGTCATAAACATTAATGAGATTGAAGATGATTATGACGATGAGGTTTCAAAGAAGCATGATGATGTTTTATTAGGTGTTGATGAAATTGGCTTAATTTTATTGATATTTGATTCAAATTTTGCTTTTATGGACACCAAAGAACTTAATGTGTTCATTCAATAAAAGTGAACGTGTTGTTGATTTATAATTTATATTTTTTTATGTTTTGTTTTAAATATTTTAGAATTTATATTTGGTTTGTGTTTTGGATATTGAATTAAATTTATGTTGTTGGTTTAAAATTTAAATTTGGTTTATACAAGTGTTGCATTGTAACTTGTTAGGTGTTTTCAGTAAGTGTTGTATTGATTTTTTTGTTGACCCGGGTCTATCCAGCTGACCCGTGACTCGATCATTAGACCGGGTCAACCATCGGGTCGAGTATAAAAATTATGTTTAAAATATAGGGCAACTAATAGCAACTTCAAGCTGTTTTTCCCCATCTTCTGAAAATGTTCTCTATACAGTGGAGAAAGATGGAGCACTGTTCTGGTTGGACTTCGTTCGGTTTAAACCTAAATACATTGAATTGGTCCGACCCAGTAAAATAAAAAAATCTAATTTTTTTATTTTTAATTATGTTTTATTCAAAAAATAGTGTTTAACGTTATTCAATAACACTACATAAATTAGAAGGATACTGCAAGATGACGTACCATATGTAGAATTTGATTGCAATTCCAATTTTGTTCCTGATGATATTTAACTTGATGTTGTTGCACGTTTAAGAAACCATGAAAACTATAGTCTTTATTGGATGGATTTTGTACGTGATGGAATTATAGATAGTTTAATGGAATAATAAAAAATATTTTATATAAAGTATTATTTATTTCATGATATAATAACAATAATTAAACGTATAATATTTAAATTAAAAATTATCAATATTAATATATATCTTTTTTAGTTATTTTATAACCTTTAATTTGAAAAATATTATTAACCAAATACATTAAACTACTTTTTATTCAATCTTAATTTTAACCATAGTTTCAACCAAACATATATAAATATCAAATCAATTTTAATCAAAAATATTTTTTATAAAATAATTTTTTATAAAATTTTTTAATTTAATTTTTAGCATAATACATTAAAATAATAAAAAAATAAAAATTTAATTATAAGTAATTTTTTATAAATGTGTTTGAGATTGTGGTAATAATGATACTTTAAAGTATTTTTTGCTTAGAAATATATCAAAATATATTTTTTTTATTTTTAAAAAAATATTTTTGATATCATCACATTCAAACAATTTTAAAATATATAAAAAAAATTTATTGAAAATTTATTTTTTAAATTTTAAAAAATATAATTTACATCGGCACACCCTAAACCATGACAGATCTTAGTTCTGGCCGTGCTAAAGAACGAGGGTATCATCATTGTGGTATGCAATTGCAGAAACCATAGTTTTAAAACCCAGCCCGGCCCGACGGGTTGACCCGGGACTCGG